GAACCCGCGGGCTCAGGCAATCCACTCACCTCAGCCTCCCAAAGGCGCGGGATTACAGGCTGAGCCACCGAGCCCGGCTTATCTGGTTAATTTTTAAAAATTTGTTTAGAGACAAGGTCTTGCAGTGTTGCCCAGGCTGGTCTGGAACTCCTGGATTCAAGTGATTCTCTCACCTTAGCCTCCCAACATGCTGGGCTTGCACGTGTGGTCTACTACACCTGGCCTATAGTATACATTTTTTTTTTATTTTTTTAGTTAGAGTCTTACTCTATTGCCCAGGCTGGAGTAGTGGCACACTCGTGGCCACCACAGCCTTGACCAGTGGGCTCAGGTGATCCTTTTGCCTCAGCCTTCCAAGTAGCTGGAACCATAGGCACATGCCATGATGCTTGGCTAATTTTTTGATTTATTGTAGAGATGAGGTCTCGTCAAGTTACCCAGACTAGTCTTGAACCCTTGGACTCAGGCAAAACTCTGCCTCAGCCTCCCAAAAGTGCTGAGATTACAGGTGTGAGCCACTGCACCTGATTCAACCTAGCTTTTTTATTTTTAGTTTTATTTGAAGTCTCACTGTTGCCCAGGCTGGACTGCAGCGGCAAGCTCACGGTCACCACAGCCTCAACCTGCTGGGCTCAGGTGATCCTTCTGCCTCAGCCTTCCAAGTAGCTGGAACTACAGGTGTATGCTACCATGCCCGGCTAATTCTTTGATTTATTGTAGAGATGAGGTCTCACCAAGTTGCTTAGGCTGGTTTTGAAGCCCTGGGATCAGGCAATCCTCTTGCCCCAGCCTCCCACAGTGTTGGGATTATAGTCATGAACCACCATGCTTGGCTTCAACATCTTTTTATATGTACTAGGAAACCAAAAAAATGTGTGTGACTTGCCTTATTGTGATATTCATTTTATTGCAGTGCTCTGGAACTGAACTCGCAATATCTCTGAGGTATGCCTATACAACAAACATTTCATACCTTTTGATAATATTGAAAATGCCCCCAAAGCCGGGCTTGGTGGCTCAGCCTGTAATCCCGCACCTTTGGGAGGCTGAGGTGAGTGGATTGCCTGAGCCCGC